TATTGGCCACAAATGTATGAAAATATTAAGGAATATATTAGAGCTTGTGATGTTTGTCAACGAAGGGGACGAAAACGAAACCCTGAACCTCTACAACCTATCCCTGTAGGAGGCCCCTTTGAAAAGATTGGAATTGACTTTGTAGGACCTCTGCCTCGCACTCCACGAGGAAATAAATATATTATTGTTGCTACGGACTATCTTACCAAATGGCCCGAAGCCCGACCTGTCTCAGAGGCCACTGCCTTAAAAGCTGCTACTTTTATTTATGAGGACATTATTTGTCGTCATGGATGTCCAAAAGTTATTCTTTCTGATCGAGGAACCCATTTCAGAAATCAAATAGTTGATGATCTTTTATCTCGATTCGAAATAAAACATGTATATTCCACCCCGTACCACCCAGAAACAAATGGCCTAACTGAACGATTCAATCGAACTCTTTGTGAATCGTTAGCTAAAACATCTGAAGTTGTTACTGACTGGGACAAAAATATATCCTCTGTTCTCTTCGCTTATCGAACCGCTAAGCAATCGACCACAAAAATAGAACCTTTTTATCTCGTATATGGACGAGCTGCAAAATTTCCCACTAAGGAAGGACTTGAATACATGGAGGAAAATTTATTAACCCGCTTGTATGACCTTACTATAACTTTACCTGAGGAAAAAGGCAAAATACAAACTCGAATACACAAACAACAACAAAAACAAAAGGAGTACCATGACCGAAAAATAATTACTCCAAAAGTATATGAAATTGGAGACAAGGTTTTAATGTACGACGCCGCCAAACATACTAGTCACACTGGTAAATTAAATCCTAAGTGGAAAGGTCCCTTTTATATCCATGATCGACTGTATCCAGGGGTTTACAAATTAAGGACCATAGATGGAAAGTTGTTACAAACACCTATTAACGGCTCATTGTTAAAATTGTATTATGAAAGATCTACCTGGGTACCACAAATTACCATTAGATGAAAAAGTAATGTTGGAGAAAATTAACGGCGTAACTTTAAATAGATATATAATTCCCTATTATTCTCAAAATTTTGCCCTAAAATACAACATGTTGGAATATCAACAAGATCTATTACGAATAGGAAGTTATACTTTAAAACAAATCGATCGACCATATAATTTGAATGAACCTTGGGAAACTTCTGTTCGAAATGTATATCAAGAATTAAGACAGAAAATGTTTCAGAAAAATAGAATCATGACTATGGTTTATGGATATTACTTGGGAGAATTAATTCAATTATCCATTACCCCTCGTGAAAAATGGAAAGAGTTTGTGCGAGACAATCACATCCCAAATGAAATTTATTTCTATCGAGGATCTGCACGTCTCTATAAACT